AAAATTGACTCATAACATTATCACGAATGTTGTTATCTTTGCTCAATTTTATTTTTAGTTCCTAGTTATTGTCACAAATTATGGAAACATTACCAATTGATCTGGTAATTGCCTCATCTCAATGTTGAGAATAATAGCTATTTATATATCAAGGGAGGAAAGGTATCCATTTCCTCACGCGTGTGAAGTTTGATGTGTTGCTCCCACGATATATACAGGGTGTAATAATAATAATAATAATAATAATAATATAATAAGAAAAGTTCATATTGTTACGTTATTCGGGTGAAGAAGCGAACACGACACTAATTTCGAACTGATTTATTTGAACTGAAGAAACACTAATTTATATCGAACTTATAACTATTTATGTAAACGATTTATATCACGCGGTATATGACTGTCTCTCTGACACTCGCGGCTTGACTGACTGACGGCAGTTGTTCGACCGTTTATATATGAGATCCCTTGGAAGGCTTTGGTTCGAGAACGTTCTCGAATGATCTTCCGTCTCCTTCTGTTTGTTCTAATAGAAGCTTCTTAAAACAAAACCTCTCTCTCTTATTGTTCCATCGATTGTTTCCAGAACATTCCAGAATCTTCTGTCACGTTATTTGTCACTGCGGCATATATTGAGTGTTCGGAAATATGCTGGTGTATGTAGGAATCATTGGGAGGTTGGAAAACAATCTGGGTTGCGTGTTACAGGATGATCGTTGTACTCCTGTCTTACTGATGATGTTTCTAGAGCCCCTCTAAGGGCAATATCATAACAATATGAACATATTCCCTGAACTTCATAACTTTCGAACTATAGGGTGTTTTCTCTTTATTGATTAAAGAAACTCTCACAATGTGAAAAACTGTCACGTTTATGAATACTTTTCAAAATAAGACCGCAACGTAATCGATCAAATTTCGTTATGCCACAGATGCATGAAATTTTTTTTATAGTTTTGCGCGAAAACGGTTCGTCGGGCGGAAAAAAATCAGGTCAAATTGTTGCAAGAAAATGAGCATTCCAAAAATGATTTGTATTCTGGGAAAAATCAAGGGCGTACGATATATTTTTTAAAGATCTCCAGGATACATCCCTTACGTACGCCACTGGTAGAGATATTGAAAAATTTTCTGCATCGAAAAATGCCTATTGTTGCTTAGTAGGTGCATGTCAAATTTCAGGAAAATACACTCAGTTCCAAAAAAGTGACGCACTTGATATTTGACCTATCTTCTTGAAAAAAACGAAAAATAGTAGGCCGATTTTTATTTATTTTTTAGTTGTTGGTAGGTAATGCATTTGTCTTTAAAAAAAATAAAGAGGTGAAAATATTTTCAAAGCCTCCTTGATGGTGGTGGAATAACTCGAACAATGATTTATTCTTAATTTTTGACTCACCCTGTGTGTCAATTTAGTAATTTAGAAAGTGCTTACACCCTATACGAAAGAGGCTTCTTTTGCGAGCATTTTGTTTTTTTATTCATTGATTTATCTCTAGAATTTCCTGAATTTATCGAGAAACAATTTTCTAATGAAATAAACTGATACCAATAATTTAAAAAATATTTTTATTAAACACAAAATTATAAATTGGGATGACTGCTTAATACCGTGTATTGCCTTCTCTAGCAACTCTACGAACTTCTAATCTACGAGGCATACTGGAAATTAAGTTGCTTATCGTTCCCATTTGTATACGATCCCATTCTTTCACTAATGCATCTACCATTTCTGCGAGACTTTCCGGAGTCCTCTCGCGAGAACGTACCCTTCTCCCTAATTCATCCCACAAATGTTCTATAGGATTCATATTGGGGCTTCTCGCAGGTCATTGTAATATGGTGATACCAGTTGCTTCTAAGAAGTTTCGCACTATTGCTGCGGTGTGTGGTCGGGCATTATCCTGCATCAATATAAAATTATTGCCCACTAACTCTGCATAAGGTGAGACATACTGCTCTAAAATGTCAATGTAAATTTGGGCATTCATCGACTGCCTCACCGGAAAAACATGAAGGGGTATCTTTCCATTCATTGAAATCCCTCCCCACACCATAACGGACCCAACATTAAAACTTTCGCATTCTGTTATTAAATTTTGATTAAACCGTTCACCAGTTCTTCTCCACACTCTTTTTCTTCCATCCACCATGTTAAGGCAAAACCTTGACTCATCCGTAAACAAGACATTCGACCATTCAGGAATATTCCACTGTCCATAATTTTAAACAAAATTTCTTCTAGCAGCACGCTGTTCGGGCAATAATTTGGGACCTTTTGCAGGTCTCCTAACTTTTAAATTAACTCCTTTCAGACATTTACATACCGTCTGCTTACTTACTGCAACATCACGAATTTGGCGAAGATCTTGCTGAACATTTAGCGCAGTATTTGATCGATTCCGTAAAAACCGCAATCTCAAGAAGCGATCATCTCTTGGAGAAGTTTTTCGGGGGCGACCAGAACCGACCCTCCGAGCGATGCTTCCTGTTTTTTCGTACTTGCGGATTGCTCTACGAGCAGTTGCTTCGTGAACTCCCACTGCACGAGCGGCGTAACGTTTACTACGGCCATCGTTTACTGACGCAACTAATCTTGCTACTTGTTCAGGATTTATTTGAGGCATTTTATGTAATTTTAGTCAATAAAACAAGACACTTAATTAATGACACAACGACAAATGGTCAAATATGGAGGCATACAAAAAATTAGCTGCTATGGCAATGGCATTTGTTTTTTTAAAGACATTGTGATCCTACCAGAGTACAACCCAATCAATTTTGAGTACTCTGATTCTTCAAAAAATTTAATTTTCCTCCGATTGGCAGCAAATATTAATTTTGCTGACACATATCAATCAGCAAAGTATTACTTTTCCTGCCTAGGCAGCAAAGTGGTTACTTTGCTGATTGATATGTATCAGCAAAATTAAAAATCCATAAATCGTTTATAATTTCCTTCATATTTCATCCAAGACTTCTCCGGCAACAGATTCAACTCTATATTTTTTGCCACCTCCCTTATTAATGGAGGTGTAAGTATACTTCCAGGTCGCTATCACTGTCCATTATATAATAATTTGAATATACCAATATTGTTTCGCACAACTGTCAGAAATTTCATGAATTGTCAAACCAACAACTGCGATTTCTATCAAATTTTATTTTAATTGAACACTATACAGGAAGAATAAAGAGATTGTGGGACTTGTATTAATTCGAAAACACAATATTCTCCCATATCATTATGAACAATCGGAGAAAAAATCATATGTTCAACTCGGCAGCACAGTAGATTGACTGCCTTTGCTGGATTCCTAGCCTCGCTACGCTCGGCTATGAATTCAGCCACGGCAGTCAATCTACTACTTTGCTGCCTAGTTAAACAAATAACTATTCTGGGATAAGCGTAAGGTATCAGCAAAAAAGCTGTAATTCGGAAAATTTTAGAGATAAATCAATTAATTAAAAACAAAATGCTCGCAAAAGAAGCCTCTTTCGTATAGGGTGTAAGCTCTTTGTATACCATTACTCAATTAACACACAGGGTGAGTCAAAAATTAAGAATAAATCATGGTTCGAGTTATTCCACCACCATCAAGGAGGCTTTGAAAACATTTTCATCTCTTTATTTTTTTCTTAAAGAACAATGCACTACCTACCAACAAATAAAAAAAATCGGCCTACTACAAGTGCGTCACTTAGTGTATTTCATTCAACGACAGGACTCTACCATCTTTTTGATACCTTGATTATAATCGCTGACTTGGCAACCTTGCTTCATGAGTGGGAATGAAAGATTATCTGACCAATAACGAAACAGCATAGAAACTAACGTCACCGTTTATTCGACGTATCACCAAATGGCGGCCATGACGGTACGTTTGAAATGAGCTCTGAAATTCAACAACCTAACCTAACCTGAACTAATGAACGACGTGTCACCGCTTCAGTTGATTCTTAATTTTTTGAGCTCTCACGAATAGATGGCCCAATCTATTTCCCAAACATGTGCATTATAAAATGAAAATGCAAAAAAGTTACAGGTTACTGCACTCTGGCAATAGGTCGCGTGCACGATGACCGACCCTGGAGATAAAATATTCAAACACAACTCTTCCGTGAAACATTGAAACACAACCTCACTTTTTTATTTGTTTACAGAGGAATCAAAGGATTGAAATAGTTTTTCACAATATCTTGGCATACGAATCGTGTTTTTTGCGCTATTCATTAATTCAATCATGCCTTCTCATTAATCTGTGTCATTGTGCTGTTGTACAATGCACAAAAAATGCAGCGAGAGATGAAGGAATATGATTTTTCAGGTAAATAGTATTCTCACATAGTTTTCATTATGAAATTTCGTCATTTATTATTATGATTCCTGCTGCCACTTCTGTAATAGAAGCTGATAGTGCTAAAAGATTGAACATGTCTACAACTCACACGATCATATTTCGTCAGCATGTCAGACCAGTCCTTCCGTTTGATTGCATGAATCCAATCTTCTTGCATTATCTTAGAAATTTCTCGAGTATTTCTATTAGTTTCTATTGCAGAAGGAATTCCGATTAGAAATCAGAGAAATTATCATATTCCAAAAATGAAACCTATATGTGATTCTTTCGTCTCCCGCTGCATTTTTTGTGCATTGTACAACAGCACTATGTGATGGCATGCGCGATTTAATGAATAGCCGAAAAACACGATTCCTATACCAAAATGATTGTGAAAAACTATTTCAATCACTTGTAAAGAAATATGAAAAGTGAGGTCGTGTTTCTATGTTTCACCTCCAGTTCTTGCACGCAACCCATGGATACCGAATTTCAGCACATTTTAGGTTAGAACCTCGGATGGGAATCAAAATTGCAGGGGGTTGACTTTGCTACCAGCGCAAAATTTACAAACAGCACTTTTTTTGGGAACCAGTAACCGCCTTATCATCACTTGAATGTTGAAATCGATATTGAAATATTGTTTTGTTTTTCTTCCAGAGGAGGATTTTCATGGATCATACTCAAAAATTGTACTTAAATATTTTCTTGCCGAGGGGATTGTTTCGAAACATTCAACGTTGATTGCTAGTCAAGATGTGAATCCTTCCAATATTGTGAGTATTGATTTATGTTTCTTGTGAATGTTCCAAGATAGAGTGTAATTAGTGTTCTAATTTGCACCACCTTATTCCATGATATAAACTACTTGAAAAAATAAAATGTAGGAAATGCTCAATCTGTTCAGTCATAATATTTCTATTGACATATAGGGTGGTACATACTTTGAGTACTGTCAATAACAAAATCAATGTTAACATTTTTTCGCTACGTCACTGAACAGATTCTAATACATTTCTCAATTCAACCATTCAATACCCAAATTTTGAACACCTTGAATTCAATTTGTTTCTTGGTTAATTCATCATGTCAGTAACGTTCAAACACAGTATTTCATCAAGTTCTTTTGATTCCTGGTGTAATAATCAAAACTTGATCACCCTGTATACCTTGGTAAGTATGCGTTAGAATTTTCTACAATTTGGACCAAACTTCAATAGTAAAAACACAGTAGTGTCCGTAAAAGGTTTAAATGACTAATTTCATCGCATATATTTTTTGTAGAATGTGTTTTGTGGTGCTACAAGAATTCTTGCAGAAAATTCACAAGAAAAACCGAAATTGTAAGGTTTTTGCCATATTTACCTTGATATTTACTGATGTTTTCATAAATTACCTTCCATATTATAATTAATGAAGCAAGATAAGGAAGTTTCATCTGAAAATACTACTTATGAAAGCTTTGTGAGATCATTCAAAATTGGTCATTTTTAGAGAATTGTAATACTATTATTATTTAATATTCGTAATTGAATTGAATTCTCATCATCCTGTAATCCATGTTTCTGTTGTAGATCAAAGAATTACCTGCTGTGATTGAAAGTGATCTTGAAACAGAAAGAGTTTCAAAAACCAGAGCAAGTGATAAGATGCGAATAGCTTTCAGATATCAAAATTTACCGACGACGGATAGCTCGAATAGTAATATGAATAATATAGGACATAACTATGACTTATCCAAGAATATGTCCTTCAGTGATATTGAAAATTCTGACATCAGTTATTGGACTGGTCAGCGAATTGAAAATGGTGAGTAACATTGAATTATTGGGAAATTTATACATAAGCTTTCCTTTTTTTAAACCATATCAACCCTGCAGTGGTGACCTACGGTCTCTCAGACCGGCCAGATATACTTTTTTGAATTTTGGGCCTGTCGTGCGATGCCCCCTTTACTGCTTCCCTCTAGCTTTACCTTTTCAATCAAAGGTATATATTCTCATACAAATGAAATATTATTTCTAACAGAAATCATCCATATCAGGAGCCAGAACAATGAAGACTTCTACATCCCATGAAAACATGTATGATGGATGAAGAGGATCTTGAATTGAATTGTATTTTTTCAATAATATAATCTGATTTCCAATCATGTTTCCTTCCAGCAGAATCATAAAAACTGACTCTATTTTGATTGTAAATATTTTTTTATCACAAAAAAAATGGAATGTCTCCCAGATCGACGTCACCACTCATGTTTCGTTAAACCACGTCACCACTGGAGGGAAAAAAATTGAGCAAAGGTTAAGTTACTTGATCATTCCCTATACTTAACTCAAACCGCCATTGACTTATGAATTGTTTGTACTAAAGTCTCAGCCATATACTTTTTGTGAATAAAACATATCGTTTCCAATATATATAAACTTGTCAGAGTGAGAACTCCTAGGTTTGAAAACAGTGTCTGCATGAGTCTCAAACACCTTCCTTGCCTAAATACCTTATAGCAAGTTTCTGCAGTACAAACACCGAATGAAAAAGTTGTTGGCTACGATATCCCCAATATCGATTGGATCCTGTTCATTGAAAATATTTTCAAGATTGCGACACTTCCTGTTATGCCGGAAGTGGACATGCAACTTGATTTTCCAGATTCCAGATGTTCTTTCCCTATCCTCCTAAGGTACGGGCGATGTTCTCCGAACATTATAGGGATGGGCGCTTCAAGAGATGAATTATATTACATTTATCAGCTTTCCCTATATCTAAATCTAGCCGTTTTCGAAATTGCGGCCTTTTTAAATTCTTTTTTGGTTGTCAGCACATTCTTTGGTAACTGGGGCATTCTTTAATATATCCGAATCATTTTAGAGAGTCAGTAAGAAAATCAATATATCTTTCGTATTCAATGAGAAAAGCACAAAGTCATCTCCACGCCTTTTGAATTTGAAAACATCAAATTAGGAACATGTTTCAGACATATGCAATGTCCATCTTCAGCCTATGCTAAGAAGTCATAGATATGAAAAGGTTATGTTACATTCCCATGTCTCCTTAGCATAGGCTGAAGATGGACATTGCATATGTCCGAAACATGTTTCTAATTTGATGTTTTCAAATTAAAAAGTCTTGAAGATGACTATGTGCTTTTCTCATTTAATATGAACCCTTTCACTCCACTTTGAGCTTCAATGGACTTTTATCAACGTTTCAATATATTTTTTCTTGGTATATTCATAGTTGGGGAAAAATTCTAGAGAATGTTTGAGAAAGTTGAAATACCCATATCTATTTTTTTTCAAATGCAATGTCAATTCTTTTTTAAATTGTTAATTGGTGGCAACGCTGTACTGATGATGTGCATTAACAATGAAACGCATTTTTGCAGGGGTGTGCTCACTAATTTGTTTTATGTCATTACTATTACAAACTTATATTACATGAAGAAATAGTCGGCTATTATTAACCAGAATTCATATTGGCACTGCGACATTTGCAAGTTAATGATCCTCAATTGCCGCCGATATGCGGCGGAAGAGCAAGGAAACATTCGTCCTAGATCAATTACCTTCCAACCTAATATCGAACAGCGATTGACCAGTCGAGGTTACGAACGTTTAATGACCTCTGTGACAGCGTTAGGAAAATGAAAATTTGTTTCACCTACACATGTTTGTTTTGGATTTGGACTCGTTCTAACCTATACATGTTTGTTTTGGGTTCTGGCTCGTTACATGTAAAAAGTGCACGCAGCTTCGCATCCTACTCGATTCTGACCTACAATGAGCTGTTAAAGTCTATTAAGAACAATATTGAAAAGGACACGTTCTTCCGGAAGTACCGTACCGCTTTCTGTCACCTTCTTCATGTGAATAATCTTCTTTATAAGCTTGAATAAATATCAAAGATCATTACATTCCCATAGAACTGAATCAATGTGATTCAGTATGTAAAAATTACTACATACAATGCAGTTTCAAAACTGAAAACATGCTTGATTGAAATAATTTACTACAACAAAAGTTGAAATGTATTTCATTACATCAACATGAATTATTTGTTGTGCCCTGTCTCTAGATGAACAAATTCAGGAGTATTGAATTCGTGCATTTTGGTTCCGTAGAAGGCTAAAACGTCAATGTCATTCGTGGACAAGTCACTGAATAGCGAATATCAGAAGGGTATCTCCAATGCATTAATGAATTTGCGACCTCGAAGTGCCCACCTAATGTTAGGTTAGATATTCGTCATTTTTATTTCATCACCTGAATAATCCGAGACTTACGAGTCCCCAAAAGACGTATTCTAATAATTAATATCTAAGGTTCCTACTTTTAGAGTTTCATGTCTGATTATTGGATATATTATGTCTATCAATCATGACTGCCAAAATAATTTTGTTCTGCAACCGACACAGAAGTCGTCCATTTTGATATCAAGATCAGCCCTTTAATTGAGGTTTCTATTACTGACACAATCATAGATATGTTGCTAGGCAACACTTTTAGTTCCTAGGAGCCAAAGTTGAACTTAAGCCCCTAGGGACTAAAAAGGTTGTACTAGTCCATCAAGAATAAACAATATTGTTACGGTTGGTTATTTGGGTTGGGACGCATACCTGATTTGTTCATACCCATGGTGGAGATATAAATACACCATATTATAGTTGAGTATTTTGGTTTTGATCAGGAAAGCCTTCAAGATTCACATACTTGCTTGATATGTATTTCATTATTTTCATTTGTTATTCTCGGGATCTGATTGATTGGATAACTTGTTTCTGAATAATCACGGGCAGCAATACTTTTTTGTCTAACACAACGATATTGGTTACCTTTATTTGATTACCGATCCAAACACAGTGGAATATGGAGAGAAATAAGTAACTCCGAAAATTACATTAACATACCTGCTATTCCTGCTAACCTACAAAATAATTCGAAAGGAATGGGAATTGAGAACATGATACATGCGAATAAATTGTTCTCAAAGATGGGCTCAATTTTCACACTTCTTGGAGATATGCACGTACTGGAACATTCTCTTCTATTTCACTTCTACATTTTATATATTTTTGATGAAGAATTCTGATACAAACGAAAATTGTTTTAATAATTCTGATACAATATTCGAAAATGACAGTTGACAGTTAATACAACATTACTGAAGTTGTGTTTAATGAACTGTGTTGCCATGGTAATGTGTTTGAGAAATCGTGTTGCCATGGTAACGTGTTTAATATTTTGAATAAATCACAGATCCTCAATTCGTGATTAATCGATCATTTAGCGTGGTACATATCCGTACGCTAAATGCCATTTTAGTTATGTGAGTAGAAAAAAGCTTTGACGATCTGTGATTTATTCAAAATATTAAACACCCAGGACTTGTGAAGGAAGGAAGATGCGAGGATCCTTTATCTAAGCGAACAACATATTCTTGTCCTTGTCTGGCAAAACAGATGATTTGCTTCAAAATCGTGTGTGGTTATGTTTGATTGTCACTGCTTGTCTAGTGTCCGTACTCTAATATACAAAAAACTTCAAAACAGCAGTGTTAAGTACATTTAGGAACTCTAGACACATCTACAACCAATATCACTTATACGTGTCTCGCTGGTTGCATCCAGTTGCATGTATTATGTTCTCAATTCCCATTCCTTTTGAATTATTTTGAGGGTTAGCAGGAATAGCAGGTATGTTAATGTAATTTTCGAAGTTCGTAGAAAAAGCATAGTATGTAACGCGTTTATAAACTCTTCTAGACACTCGTTACTAAAAGGACGTTTATTACACTTGTTACATAATATACTATTAATAATAATATTACAAGTGTGTTTAGTGGGATCTTCATTTCCAGGTACAAAAACCTACTCGAATCCAGCCTACAACGAGCTGCTCAAGTCCATCAAGAACAAGATCAAAGAGGGCAAGTTCTTCCTGAAGGACAGGCCCGACCGGCGGTCCGTGCTGCGGATAGGCGTGCACTCTTTGGGCTCGCCCATGTGGCTGCCGCACAGGAAGTCGCTGCACTCGATAGACGCCACGCGCGACCTCGACATGTTCATCTTCTGTTTGCGAGCGCTCGTCCGGTCCGCCTATTCGGTAGCCGTCATCACCATTCCCACGCATTTGTACCATGAAGTGAGTACGGAATAGTTCACACAGATTTTTTTATCGCTTGTTGAAATCTGACATTCTGATGATTTCAACCATAATCAATATTATCAATACGTTATTCAATCTAATAATTTTTTGTTCAAATATTATATATTTATTCTGTCTGCGGGCGCTCGTCAGGTTCGTTTATTCGGCAGCCGTCAACACCATTCCCACGTATTTGTACCATGAAGTGAGTACGTATTTTATACCTATTGTTTTTTTCGCATGTCAGGATTTGACATTTTGGTGATTGCGACGGCATTTAAAATTACTGGAAAACATCCTAAATTCTGGTTTGGATCGCTACCACGCATCTTTGTGGACGTCACTGAGAGTAAAACAATAATTGTTCAGCGTATGTTCCGCCTCTGCCTCAATATTGACAGCGTCCATGTACGACAGCGGTAATTTAAATTTGCGCGAACAGTTTTGTTGCATTTGTACCATGAAGTGAGTACGGAGTCGAGTTCTGACATTTCAACCAATAACAATGCGTTATTCTAGCCAATCATTTTTTTGTTCAAATATTATCAGTGATGGACAATGGGATATCCGACCACAAAGCGCCCAGGTCGCTTTGGTGCCAAAGTCGCTTTGGATGCTTCAAAGACATCTCAAATTTACCGCTTTATAAAATAACAACAGAAGCGTATGGTTGATACGCATTGTTGATGTACTTACCCAAAACAATGTTGCAAATTAACCATTTGCAAATACGACCCTACCCTGCCGGTTCAATTTTAATATATCAGTACATTTGGGCTGATCGAAATTTGGGCCCAACAACATATTTGACTGTGAGGACATTATTTTTATAGGTCCACAATGACATATAGCAGTAGGTATTTGACAACAACGCATCGTTCGGATATGTTCGGAGGCGGTGGGTGAATCTAGAGTCACTGGATGGTATTAGTTAGATAAGTTCGGATACAGAAATGACAACTGTTAGTGTTTTTGAATGTTTAGATTCATTAAGTTACACATCATGCATTGTGACAGGAGCAGCATAGTCGTCCCTTTCATCCCAAATTGTTTGAATTTGATAATACATTTTATAAACCTCAGAATTGAAATATAATTTCATAAACTATTGAGAAGAAAGTATAAATCAAAATATCTTGCTGTGAATTGTGGGAATTCTGAACAGATTGGAATTCATTTATTTAATTTTCTAAAGGAAATATCAACCATTCTCTTATGGGAGGAATGTATGAAGCGTCCTGAACGGAAAATTGATTTGAAGACGAGCAAAATTTGTGCGGTCATACATTAAAATTCAGTTCTTCTTGATTAGATTAGATTTGAATGAAACTATATTTTAGGCCCATTTTCGAACAGAAGATTTTAAGATCCTTTTGAGAGAATCTAATGCTGTTCCATCCATTTACAAAAATACTATTTTCAAAAAATCTATTTCTATCGACATATGAATTGCAAAACAAAATTATCATGGAGAAAGAAGAATTGATTGGGAGACCACGTAATGACATTGAAAATTCGAGAACGAAACTGAGGAAATCAAGTAAATTGCAACGTGATGAATCATTGAATGACTTTTTCAATATCAACCAAACTTATAATTAAGTATATCCATATGTGTCTATTTTGTCATATTAAAATGTAGTTACATGCATTCTTTTCATTTCTAGAACTATTGTTCTGCGAAGTGCCGTATCGCTATTATTGAATTGGGTGCTTATACCCTATTTCAATTTTCCATCTACGGCTATGGTTGATATGACAGAAAATCTAATCTCTAAAATCGTATCTGACAATCAGACGCTCTTTGGGTAATTGAAAAGACAAAATGGAGAATATATGTCTCATTATTTTATTCACTCAAACCATTGTAATATAGAAAATGAAAAAAGACAGAAGATCAGCTATGTCCGAACTCTTATCTACTAATACCATCCAGTGACTCTCGATGAATCTAATTCTGGGTGAATCGAAATTTGGGCCGAACGCAACCTACATGGAACCAGCCCCTTAATTCTGAAGGCAAAATCCAGCACATATATTTTTTCCATTTTTTCAGATATCATTAGACAGATGTATCCACTCCAGTGATATCGCCATGAGACTCCAAGCTTTCAGCGGAACCGAATTAGAGAATAATCAGACCTTATCCGACTATCACGGATTCTTCTACCTGACCAAGTTGGCCGCCATCAACTCGTTAGCGTCCCGACATCCCGGGTCGGTGGAATACGCTTTCAAATTACGAAGGAAAAAGTTTTCTATAGACGTCCTGCATTTACCACCTGGTGAGTACCTACGTCATAAATGATTGATTGATATCAATAAGCAACTACAGTTCTCAGGCAGGGTCATTTATAAATGGAAACCTAGTAGGCAATAGGATAGTTCCATGTTCTACATTCTGTATGAGATGACAAGGAGTTAAGTATGTCAAGGTAGAAAGCAATAAACGTCATTGGGATATTACTGGAGAAATTGTATTTCTATTTGTAAAACCCCCAATAGCTCTACAGTAGTACAGGCAGGGATATAATATTGTCTTTTCACTGATCCAAAATATTTCTGGCTGTCAATTGCGCTCGTTTACTGAGGAATACAATAGCTCATTTGATTCAAAAGCATATTTGTCAATATGGACAGTTTTAGGTTCAAGTTTTCATCTTGAAACATTGAAACACTACCTCACTTTTCTTATTTGTTTACAAATGATTGAAATAGTTTTTCACAATTATTTTGGCGTGTTTTTCGGCTATTCATTAATTCGCACATACCATCACATTGTGCTGTTGTACAATGCACAAAAAATGCAGCGAGAGACGGTAAGTACATTATAATTTGAAAGTAAGTAGCTACTATAGTCACTCACATATAGTTTTCATTTTGAAATTTGGTAATTTCTCTGGTTTCTCATCCGAATTCCTTTTGCAATAGGAGCTAATAGAAATACTCGTGAAATTTCTAAAAGAACGCAAGAAGATTGAATTCATGCAATCAAACGGGAGGACTAGTCTGACATGCTGACGAAATATGATCGTGTGTGTTGTAGACATTTTCAATCTTTTAGCAGTATTAGCTTCTATTGCAGAAGTGGCAGAAGGAATTTTGATAAGAAATAAGAAATGACAAAATTTCATAATGAAAACTATGTGAGATTACTATTTACCTGAAAAATCATATACCTTCGTCTCTCGCTGCATTTTTTGTGCATTGTGCAAGTTGTGTTTCAATGTTTCACAGAAGAGTGAGGTTCAATATTTTACCTCCAGGGTCGGTCATCGTGCACGCGACATATTGACCATTCTAGAACACGTGATTTTGACATGGTTTCTTGGAGGGCACACAAATTATCTGCTGGTTACCTTCGATGAGCATAGCCCTGGCGATCCCTAGCCATCCCTTCCCACATCCACAATATAACAGTTTCACCAAACAAAATTCGAATTCCAAGGAAAACGATCCTACTAATTCTGGTTTGATATTGAAAATTTCGACAAAATACAATGTTTGCCCTCCAATGACCTGTCATATGGCGTAATTCTGGAATGATGTAAACAGAGATAAAGATTTCTTCTGACTCTTGCTTGTGTTACTGGTGTAACTGAATGCCAGCTCAAATTACAATTCTGAATTGAATTTTGAGCTTGTTATGTAAGTTTTCCTACTAATTGTCTGATTTCGAATTCCTTAGGTTTTTTTTTATTCATTTGTGTGTGGTTTTGAAGTTCCATTTCGCATTTCTACAAAAGATGGAGTTGTGATTTTTTTTCACTTCTTTCTCAATAATGACGTGAATTTGAGGCAACATGCAATTACCTCTAACAATATCCGTTAAAAGGAAGAATATTTCATGGAAGAAGATTAGTAAAGAATGAAAGCAATTATTAGAGAAATATAAACAGAAAATTGGCCAGCCCATTATTCTTGTTCTTAAATATTTATTGACCTATGTACATTTATTTATTTTTTATCCTTACTACAAGGTTAACTTCGTAAGGTTTTTCCCAGTTTATTCAAATTACCTTTATGTTTATTCCAATGTATATTTTGTAAACGTTTTTGAATAAACTTATATTATTATTATTAGTTATAACTGAGCCTTTGGAAATTTCTTTTTTTTTTTTTAATTTTGTATTTGGTGAGTGTAATGGATGAGGGAGGTAAGACAGATAGTACAACTCAGGTAAAACTCTTCTCACTCTAGAGCAACGGTTATCGACTATCAATTCTAACAGTGGTTACAATTATTTACTGGCATAAAGGCTACTGATAGAGACAAATGCCAACATACATGATATCAAACTGGCATGAATTCCAAGTCATGCCGAAATTGATTGTAATAAAAAACTAAACATACTTGCAAGCATAGGAAGACCACCCAATGCCCCAATGAACTCAAAACAAGACAAATATGACTTGATTCCCAGAATCAAAAAGCTAATCACCGACGCCGGTGAGCACATTATCCCCAAACGAAAATTTTGCCGAATCCTCTGGTGTTCCAACCAGAGATAGGGATCTTTAACTAGTCCAACATACATGGCCTCGGGACCGCCGGCTTAACGTGCTCTCCGAAGGACGGCATAATCTTACCATATCTTGTGCTTATTGATATGGTAGCTGTAGCTATGATAATGCTATTTCGATACAGATGTGCGGGCATACGCGCGTTTTCTTTCCATCAAAGTACTAACCGCGCTCGACAATGCTTCACTTCAGATATTGAACGACTGGTGCCAGAAACAAGATGATGTTTTTGAGGTTATGCTTTCTTCTTTTTCTGGTTTTCCTGTTCGAAGGCTTTACTACCGTTAGTCAGAAACTTTCCTTTATTTTCACTTCTGATTCAGTTTCTTCATCATAGTTTACCGCACCAAGAATTTTCAATTGATATTTAAAAAATTACGTGGTTTCAATCGTTTTGAGGTCATTTTAGAATCTAGATGGTACAACTATATTACTAAGTAGTTATTAACTCATTTGATGTATACTTGCCCGAAGGAAATTTTCTATATAGCACTCCGAAAATAAGAAAAAATGAATCTGAAGCGTTGATGGTAAACTATCTATACGTCAGTGAGCACAGTGATCTGACGGCCTGCTATTAGCGGTACAAATTTCCAACCAACCTCTACTTCCACAGTATTTATGCAAATAATACTCATCAAATACATGACATATTATATATTGTTACCAGCGACATAATCTACTATCTAGGCCGCTTCCATCCAAACTGTCATTCATGACATTGACTCATGTCCAGGCTAGATGCTGCCCATAAGGTAGCTTGGAATTTTCAATAAAGTTACCAAAAGATGTATTCATGTTCTGAAAAATCTGGTAACTTTTTTGAAAGTGTCAGTCTAGGGAGAGGCCATTTTGAATCAAGTCTAGCTATTTATGTATCAGAATTTCTAATACAGGAAAATAAAGTCCCCAACACAACATTTTATACCTGAAACACTGAGTATACAATGAAAAAAATAGAAATATTCAATTATAACAAAATATATAGGTATTTTTTGGAAGAAAAATAAAGAACATAGTTTTCCACTTTTATCTTTTTCAGAATCCTTGAAAGACAGGCTTTCATGATACACACACGTCTACGTGCATTATTGTCATTATTTGTCTCTTGGTTTAAGTCCTCATTTAATTAAAAGCTAGAAAAAATGCCTGATGAAAGGTTCTTATTGCGCGTGCTCCATGGGATTCAGCTCCATCTCGTAAATGGATGAGCTTTTTTGTCATATCTGTGATGGTAACCGATGAGGATAGAATATTGATGTTGATTTTTGTTTCAGATATCCAAGAAGATTCAGACGGTAAACGTGAACAGTTTCCTTCGTTAGGGTGTGGCGGCAGTACCAAAAAGAATTTGTTAGATTTCTAAATACCTACTTACGTACCTTGAATGAACTTTATCATAACCTATTTATTGAAGAGTATTATATTTTGAAAGATTTGACAAATACATTTTTTTTATATTGAAAAGTGTTTCATTCCAATCCTCATATCTCAATCTTGCAGAGTTTGCTGAACTACTCCCCAAGTTGAGAATTGACTTCATATGATTTCTGTTCAGCACATTGGGGACACCCGTATACAAGTGTCAAATTTGACATAAAGGACTCACCAATGGTCTTTGTCGGATTATGGCAGCATTCTACTATATAAAATTCGAAATAACTAGAAAACCAGAACGAATAGACAGAAACTGAATTCATATTTGTTTTCAGCACATCTAAAGAGCCTGTATATAAGTTATCAACAAATCTTTTATCGAAAAAGTAGCAAGAAGCAGAAGTGGCGAGGATAAACAGACTCCGTTCTAAGGAAACGAATTTCTGACTCGATCAAATATTCTGATTTTGATGGCAAAATCTCAATGTTTGTCCGGAGAGCGCAGAACTAGCAGAAATGGCCGTGCTTTCACGTTTACCCCCTACATAAGACATAACTAGTGCGAATCTTTATTTGATGGAACGGAAAAAGCGACCCATGCCGCTTCCTTATTTGCTCCTAAAATTTTCCGAAATCGATTCGATCATCAAAAATTCCGATTTTGAAGGCCGAAATCTGAATGTTAGTATCATAATAAGAGCAGAAGTATTGAATTTATAAGTTTCGAATTCACTCGGTCCCCATCAAACATCTCGAATTCGAAACCTGAATGTTGGAATCAGGAGAGGTGTAGGAGGTATTTTATTCATTAATTTATAAGAAGCAAATTAACCCGTTCATCTCCGACTTTTGAGGCTTAATTTTAATGTTGGTGTCAAGAGAGCAGAAGTGTGATCAAAGTATTTTATCCATTCATTTATGAGTCTACTCGGTCATCGAAAATTCAATTTTTGAAGCGAAATCTGAATAATAGTATCAGGAGAGCAGCAGTGCGTAGGAGGTATTTTTTCAATAGAACCAAAACTCGATTCACCCAAAATTTCGATTTTGAAGACGAAATCTAAATGTTGGTATCAAGAGAGCAGAAGTGTGTAGAAGGTATTTATTTTATTCATTCATTTATGAATTCCTCTCGATCATCGAAAATTCAATTTTTGAAGCGAAATCTGAATGTTAGTATCAGGAGAGCAGCAGTACGTAGGAGGTATTTTTCAAATAGAACCGAAACTGGATTCACCCAAAATTCCGATTTTGAAGACGAAATCTAAATGTTGGTATCAGGAGAGCAGAAGTGTGTAGAAGGTATTTTATTCATTCATTTATGAATTCCTCTCGATCATCGAAAATTCAATTTTTGAAGCGAAATCTGAAGGTTAGTATCAGGAGAGCAGCAGTATACGTAGGAGGTATTTTTCAAATAGAACCGAAACTGGATTCACCCAAAATTCCGATTCTGAAGACGAAATATAAATGTTGGTATCAGGAGAGCAGAAGTGTGTAGAAGGTATTTTAATTCCTCTCGATCATCGAAAATTCAATTTTTGAAGCGAAATCTGAATGTTGGTATCAGGAGAGCAGCAGTAGTAGGAGGTATTTTTCAAATAGAACCGAAACTGGATTCACCCAAAATTCCGATTTTGAAGACGAAATCTAAATGTTGGTATCAGGAGAGCAGAAGTGTGTAGAAGGTATTTTATTCATTCATTTATGAATTCCTCTCGATCATCGAAAATTCAATTTTTGAAGCGAAATCTGAAGGTTAGTATCAGGAGAGCAGCAGTACGTAGGAGGTATTTTTCAAATAGAACCGAAACTGGATTCACCCAAAATTCCGATTTTGAAGACGAAATCTAAATGTTGGTATCAGGAGAGCAGAAGTGTGTAGAAGGTATTTTATTCATTCATTTATGAATTCCTCTCGATCATCGAAAATTCAATTTTTGAAGCGAAATCTGAAGGTTAGTATCAGGAGAGCAGCAGTATACGTAGGAGGTATTTTTCAAATAGAACCGAAACTGGATTCACCCAAAATTCCGATTCTGAAGACGAAATATAAATGTTGGTATCAGGAGAGCAGAAGTGTGTAGAAGGTATTTTAATTCCTCTCGATCATCGAAAATTCAATTTTTGAAGCGAAATCTGAATGTTAGTATCAGGAGAGCAGCAGTGCATAGGAGGTATTTTTCAAATAGAACCGAAACTGGATTCACCCAAAATTCCGATTTTGAAGACGAAATATAAATGTTGGTATCAGGAGAGCAGAAGTGTGTAGGAGGTATTTTATTCATTCATTTATGAATTCCTCTCGATCATCGAAAATTCAATTTTTGAAGCGAAATCTGAATGTTAGTATCAGGAGAGCAGCAGTGCATAGGAGGTATTTTTCAAATAGAACCGAAACTGGATTCACCCAAAATTCCGATTTTGAAGACGAAATCTAAATGTTGGTATCAGGAGAGCAGAAGTGTGTAGAAGGTATTTTATTCATTCATTTATGAATTCCTCTCGATCATCGAAAATTCAATTTTTGAAGCGAAATCTGAAGGTTAGTATCAGGAGAGCAGCAGTACGTAGGAGGTATTTTTCAAATAGAACCGAAACTGGATTCACCCAAAATTCCGATTTTGAAGACGAAATCTAAATGTTGGTATCAGGAGAGCAGAAGTGTGTAGAAGGTATTTTATTCATTCATTTATGAATTCCTCTCGATCATCGAAAATTCAATTTTTGAAGCGAAATCTGAAGGTTAGTATCAGGAGAGCAGCAGTACGTAGGAGGTATTTTTCAAATAGAACCGAAACTGGATTCACCCAAAATTCCGATTTTGAAGACGAAATCTAAATGTTGGTATCAGGAGAGCAGAAGTGTGTAGAAGGTATTTTATTCATTCATTCATGAATTCCTCTCGATCATCGAAAATTCAATTTTTGAAGCGAAATCTGAAGGTTAGTATCAGGAGAGCAGCAGTACGTAGGAGGTATTTTTCAAATAGAACCGAAACTGGATTCACCCAAAATTCCGATTCTGAAGACGAAATATAAATGTTGGTATCAGGAGAGCAGAAGTGTGTAGAAGGTATTTTATTCATTCATTTATGAATTCCTCTCATCGATCATCGAAAATTCAATTTTTGAAGCGAAATCTGAATGTTAGTATCAGGAGAGCAGCAGTGCATAGGAGGTATTTTTCAAATAGAACCGAAACTGGATTCACCCAAAATTCCGATTTTGAAGACGAAATCTAAATGTTGGTATCAGGAGAGCAGAAGTGTGTAGAAGGTATTTTATTCATTCATTCATGAATTCCTCTCGATCATCGAAAATTCAATTTTTGAAGCGAAATCTGAAGGTTAGTATCAGGAGAGCAGCAGTACGTAGGAGGTATTTTTCAAATAGAACCGAAACTGGATTCACCCAAAATTCCGATTCTGAAGACGAAATATAAATGTTGGTATCAGGAGAGCAGAAGTGTGTAGAAGGTATTTTATTCATTCATTTATGAATTCCTCTCATCGATCATCGAAAATTCAATTTTTGAAGCGAAATCTGAATGTTAGTATCAGGAGAGCAGCAGTGCATAGGAGGTATTTTTCAAATAGAACCGAAACTGGATTCACCCAAAATTCCGATTTTGAAGACGAAATCTAAATGTTGGTATCAGGAGAGCAGAAGTGTGTAGAAGGTATTTTATTCATTCATTCATGAATTCCTCTCGATCATCGAAAATTCAATTTTTGAAGCGAAATCTGAAGGTTAGTATCAGGAGAGCAGCAGTACGTAGGAGGTATTTTTCAAATAGAACCGAAACTGGATTCACCCAAAATTCCGATTCTGAAGACGAAATATAAATGTTGGTATCAGGAGAGCAGAAGTGTGTAGAAGGTATTTTATTCATTCATTTATGAATTCCTCTCATCGATCATCGAAAATTCAATTTTTGAAGCGAAATCTGAATGTTAGTATCAGGAGAGCAGCAGTACGTAGGAGGTATTTTTCAAATAGAACCGAATAACTGGATTCTCCCAAAATTCCGATTTTGAAGACGAAATCTAAATGTTGGTATCAGGAGAGCAGAAGTGTGTAGAAGGTATCTTAATTCCTCTCGATCATCGAAAATTCAATTTTTGAAGCGAAATCCGAATGTGTATCAGGATAGCAGCAGTACGTAGGAGGTATTTTTCAAATAGAACCGAAACTGTATTCGCCCAAAATTCCGATTTTGAAGACGAAATATAAATGTTGGTATCAGGAGAGCAGAAGTGTGTAGGAGGTATTTTATTCATTCATTTATGAATTCCTCTCGATCATCGAAAATTCAATTTTTGAAGCGAAATCTTAATGTTAGTATCAAGAGAGCAGCAATGCGTAGGAGGTATTTTTTCAATAGAAACGAAACTCGATCACCTGAAATTCCGATTTTGAAGGCGATATTTAAATGTTGGTATCAGGAGAGCAGAAGTGTGTAGAAGATATTATTCATTCCTTTAGAATTGATACTCGATCATCGAAAATTCAATTTTTAAACCGAAATCTGAATGTTAGCATCAGGAGAGCAGCGGTATTTTTTAAATAGAACCGAAACTCGATCACCCAAAATTCCGATTGTGAAGGCGAAATCCAAATATTGGTATCAGGAGAGCAGAAGTGTGTAGAAGGTATTTGAGATTTCGATTTAAGGAACCGAATTCTTTACTTGCTCACCAAAAATTCCGATTTTGAAGAGAAAATCTCAATGTTTGTATTATGGGAGCAGAAGTATGGAAGAGGTATTTATTTCATTCATTTATAGAGGATATATATTAGAACCATGATTTTTCATTGTTTTTCGTGTTTGTAACAAAATCGGGAAACCAAATAGGATTAAAAAAGTCAAATATTCTCAAGTTTTTATTAAAAACAATATATACAGTAAAAACAACCTATTTAGATTAATTAAAGCTTTATATTTCCTCCTTGCATGTCATGGAATAACATAATAAGTGCATATAATGAACTATATAAAATAAAGCTAAATAATCACTATATAATTATAATTTTATAGAAGCACTCATATGTATGATGGTATGATGAATAATCCATCTCAACTCCAGTATACATTCAATTTGTTATCACCATCGAAATTTTCGTTATAATAATCAGAATCAACTTTTTTGACCGTATTAGCATTACTCAAAAAACCAATTTTCTCGTAAAATCCATTGACAGGCACAGGGCGATATGAGGTGTCAGAATCCTGGTTGTAATTCTTGTACAGCCCCTTGAATTCCTCCCAGAAGAGGAGACAAAGCATCGTATGAGGTCCGAGTTTGAGGTAAAGTGGCCCCATTCCCTTGTAGAACGGTCGGAGACCATTTTTCGTGTAGATTTTTCTCATGCAATCCAGGTACCCACTGTACACTGGACCATTTGGTTTCGCTCCAATGGCTGCAATGAATAAACATGTTCATGTATCATCTATACTGATATTATAAAGAGGAAAGATGTGATTGTTTGTTTGTATTGAATAGGCTTCGAAACTACTGGACCAATTTGAAAAATTCACCATTTTAGAACCCAATATTATCCCATGATGAACATAGGCTACTCTTTACCGCGGGAAAATGCTTCATTCATTCGGGAAAACGGGTAATAAGACAACGGGTAGTAAGAATAATTATCCTTCCGAACTTATCTTTTTCACATAACTTCAAAGCGGCTGAGCCGATTGGGTTGAAATGTTATATGGATATTTCGAAGGTTTCCTGGATGATTTAATCATTGGACGCTGTAGGTGGCGCTGCTGTCGGTACGTAAGCTACTAAACAGCTTGACCGATTGAGTTGAAATTTTTAATATGTAAAACAACAAAAAATAAAAAAGATACTGAGAGAATGAAAATAGGTGTGAGTATGAAATAGTACCTATAGGTAAGCACAAAAAATTAACAAACAACAAAAAAATATGTACTGTAGATACGCGCATATAGTTCAGATCGACTGCAACAAATGTATTATATTTTTTAAATGGGTACTCCAACAGTGCGAAGCCGGGCCGGACAGATCGCTAATACCATAAGATCAAAGCTCATTTCTTAACAAGATGGATCTTAGTCAATGCAGCGAGCGCATTCAGGAACCTCTGTCTTATATCTTACTCACTCTTACTTATGTTTGCAAGAGATTGACTCGATGTCATGAACGACAGTTTGGGAGTTCCTGCGCATTGAGCAGAAGCGTTTTCAGGAGAGCAATTCAACCGAGCTTTTCGGATTGCTGGGATATGACATATATGGTGGTCTAGATAGTAGCATGGTGGAAATATAGTATGGTGTGCTACTCAAGAGTCCTATATTCCTATATTCGGCGCATGACGTCACTGCGAGCCTGTCGCTGGCATCATTATAACTTTAAAAATTTTCAAAAATTCATTCTAAACAAACTGTAAATTAATTTAATTTTTAACATCATAAACCGGTTACAATGCCTGATTGTACTAATACTGGTCGCTCAAATACAAATAGAAGCATTAAGTGGATTTACATAAAATTTTCCGCGTCCCGAAAAACAATGACTTGTCCAAGCAATGGATAGAAGCTTTCTGTTGAGGTAACATCAATTCAAAGAATGTTCGGTATAATATAATGTCTCCTATAGTTCGAAAATGTTCACTATCAACATGAATTCGTCATATTATAGCAACTATCTGTTCAACACATTTTGTACCAAACTGTTTTCAAACAAGTTTGAAATATCAATTTAATTAGCGAACTTCGTTGCTCCTAGAAATCACAGAAATATAAAAAAGGATGCCATTCCAACTGAATATCTTCCTGTTAATAATATAGTTCAAACAAAACAAAGCTATTCACGCATATTCAAATGACCGCTGTCGAACCTTGAGACATATGTCAATATTCCCAGTAAACACAAACATCCTTGAGATGTCACATTCATGTCTCGCTAGGTAACAATGTAAATCACAAGAAAACATCATTGGTATTGCCAGGGGGCTCTTTTTTTAACAAAACATTCGCAATATTCGTCATATTTCATTGGATTTGAGACTCAAAATGTAGGTGAATTTGTGATTCTCCGAAACAACCAAGAGACTCACTGGAACCTCACATTCTTGTCTATTTATGTAACAAACGGAATCAATTCTGATGTTGAACGAGGAGTCGCTTAACATGTACTGTGAGTTTCATTTGGCATCATAATGTGAATCATAAAATGACCAAAAGGGTCCGGAATAGCAGTCATTGTGATTTCAAGGGGACTCTCATTTCGAGTCATGGATATATCTCTGGGATGAATCTATGTTAACTGGGTTAAGACAAAGGCGGAACATACGCTGAAACGCTAACCAATTATTGTTTCACTCGCAGTGACGTCCACAAAGATGCGTGTTTTTTTTAATGTTCTGGTTTCCACGAAAAAGAATATCCCGTTTGAGAAAATGCAACTACAGGCAGTGGCTCCTGATTGCCTTGATTACAAAACGCAGAGAGGGAAAATGGTAATTTGTGACTTTATACCATCCAAAATCAGTTTATAGGTTCGCAGGAATGTACTTATTATTTAGAAAATGAATTTTGATAACTTCATTCAGTACAATTATCAATCACTATGACAACACAATCGACTTTGACAACTTCAAAATATTTCCCGCCGAATATCCCTCGTACATTGACAATGAATGCCTCAATTTCATGACAAATTTCTCAAGCTCGTTGCTTGGTAACAGCTCGAATCCGAGGGCTTTATCGGAAAAATCCTCTTGAGTTCTCGATTTGGCAGCGGTTCAACAGAGGTCCTTAGAATGTGAAGTCTTGTCCAAAGAGTAAGTGAAACAAATCACTTTTCAACTATTCAGTCATGTTCCTGCCATCTAGTGGTTCGAGATCAAAGATTGATTGGAGGAGAATGTAAGTTGTTTTAGTCCACCCGCTGATTAAGCATTAATAAACTTGGGCTGATATTTCAAATTAAAAATTCAAAAATACTATTGTAGGGAATTTCCTATAGTAGCAATTATTGTATCATACTGTATTCTGTGTATTAGATTAATTACTATTGTGATGGAGACGAGGAATGTTGATAAAAAAAACACTTCGAACTGAGTGATCAACGGGAGTAGGTCTCGGTTTTCTTTTCCGGAGTCGGAACCCATGAGTAGTGAATTTATTTATGTAAATATTTGTTAACTAGTGCATTTGAGCGATAACAAATAAACTCATTCGTCATCCTGTCCTACACTATCAACTTTCCAAAACGACAGTAAAGAATGAAAATCTCAAAAAAATGATTCACCTTGTTTATACATATTCGTGAGAACCATATCAAAAGGTGTTGTCGCCACGCTGAGCACCACTCCAGCAGCGGCTCCAGCTAGGGCAGTACTGATAATCGGGTTTTGTTGGAACACCTCGAATTTGTTGAGACCTTCTTTTGCTACAGCAAAAGAAGTCAACTGAGAGGTTCCTATGAAGGCTCTTGGCAGGGAAGCTGTAGCTCCTCTGAAGAATCCGCGAATCTGCAACGAATGATTACATTACAACATGCCAATAAACAACAGACAACAAAAAAATTGTATACATGGTGATTCACAATGAACTGTAAAATTTACAGGGTAGTGAAGTTGGGATCTTTTATTGAATATTTGAGAATACACTGAATTAGCTATACAATTCCGATGACTTCAGTAAAGCATTCGATAAAACCGATCATGACATATTGTTGCTGAAAATTTCTGAAAGTTGGTGTACATGGCGATCTTCTACGTACGTTCTCAACAGATCCCAAAATGTGAACATTAATGTTTACCAGGCTAAAACCTTCACAGTAACCTCAGGAGTGCCACAAGGTTCACATTTAGGTCCTCTAGTAATCTTGATATTCATTAATGACGTGAAAAAGTGCTTCGTAAACTCTAAATTTTTACTTTACGCAGACGATTTGAAAATATTTTCTGAAGTTAAGTCTCGCGAGGACTGTGTAAGTCTGAACTCTGATCTTCTGAGGATCTCACAATATTGCGAAAAGAATAGATAATTTTTAAACATGAATATATGTTTCATTATCTCATTCACAAAAAACGTCAAGAATTTTGAATTTAGTCTGGCACTGTTTTCAAGAGAGTGGAGGAAATCAAAGATCTAGGGATTATTCTAGATTCCAGAATGAATTTGAACAAATATTACGCTTATATAATGAATAAATGAAATAGAATGTTGAGCTTCCTCACTCGAATATGTAAAAGTTGTAAATCTCAGAAATCATTGAAATCTCTCTACTTCGCATTTGTTTATATAGCAAATTAAATTTCGCGATTATGATAAGACATCCAGGATATAACGTATATGATTCGTAAGATTTCTGGATTTTAAAATAAATGGAACCTACAACATAGAAAATGTTAAATTAGTTCGGCAGTCGTTTGGTATTTTGGAACTTGAAAAACGAAGAATAATCAGTGACTCAGTCTTCACGTTCAAGGTTCTAATGAATCATTATGACTGTCCAACATTATTATCATTTTTTTTCTTTACAAATTCCTCCTAGGAATTTCCCCCTGCAATGGGTGGAAATTCTCACTTTTCCATCAAAATTCCATCTCAGTATTGTGCGGCAAATTTCAATAGATAAACGTTCAGGTTTCGTTTCCACTATTTCTCTAGATTTTTTGGTCAAGCAGTGACATTTTGGGGCAAATCCATGGCAATCATCTGATTTATTCTCCTCACCTACTATATGAGGTATTGAATCAAAACTCATATTTCAAATTATAGAAATAACTAGAGGAAATCCAAAAATGCTATATGAATGAATATCCCATTTCCTCAATTAACCTACAGATATTATATATAACAAAAATAATATATTATATATAATAAGTATTTCATTTACCTACCGAGTAAGTATTTAAGAAAGTAAACTATTATCACTTGGTTTTGAACTAGTGAGTAATTAACTAACACAGTCAAATCACAAAACAATGGGAATTCTATAATTATGTGTTCTGTGTTCAGATTACAAAATAATGACTTGTAGAATGTCAACTATCGTTGATTTACTCAGAATTCAGAACCTGTCGATATTATCAAACGGCCTTTCTCCAGAAAAATCCCTTTTCCCCTCTACGTTCCAAAAATTCCCACGAAAACGGGAATTTCATTCCCATTATAACAACACTGCTTGCTATTCATATCATCCATCAATAAGGTTCGTAGCGCAGTCAAAAAGGTGTCAGGTTTGTAGAAATTCAATCGCAAGAGAGTACCCAGCGAGCACAAACATCCCTGGGATGTTTTGGAATGTTTTGAAAATGTTGGCATGAAGATGTTATTTTGAGACGTAATATGCACTGACCAAAGAGGTCTTTGAAGGATATTGAAGTATTGTTTTTGTTCTTCTGTGGCATTTCTTTGTTTGCCTACTGAGGGGTATCCCTGGGATGTTTTGGGATGCTTTAGAAATGTAGGCATGAGGATGTTTTTTTGAGGCGTAATATGCACTCCCCAAAGAGGTCTTAGAAGGATATTGAAAGTATTGTTTTTGTTCTTTTGTGCCCATTCTTTGTTTGCCCCACCACAACGTCTCATGCTTACGTCACAATACGATGAATTCTGATTTGTTTTCGATTTTGTTCTTCTTGTTCGCAATTGGCATTCGCGTTTGCAGCGTGTCACGCTTACATCACGCTGCTAACGAACAGAAAGGAATTTGGTGAAGTTTATTGTGTTAGAAGACTTATTTAGTTTGTAATAATGACCATCAGATGCAAGATGTGTTGTTCGGTGCCTCAATGTAATCAATATACATATAAAAGTACGAATTTATCAATACACAGCTTCTCCGCAGTTGCAAAGTTATGCATTGTGGAGAACATTTCAAAAATTGGGAAACCTATTTCCAATTATATGTCTGTGTGTAGTAAGCACTACTCAGAAACCGATTAAGAAGGTAATTTCATATCAAGAAAATATTTTTATGTTCAATCTATTTTTAATGCTTTTTTTCATTCAAGGGAAATGGAATCCTAATGCAAAAGTTCATTTTGACAAAAGGCTTCAGAAAAGTACCTCGAAAATGGTTTTTTTACAGCGATTTAATGTGCGCAAGACGCGTTGAAAATGTTTTGTTGTGTCCATGAAAAAGCTTTAAAAAGAACTAGGAAGAAGGTAGTTTTGTGACATATCAAGGACATCTCGATAATTGCCGCCTGCGGCGGACATTGGCTGTTCTATAATAGTTCTATTCATGTGTGAACAGAACATCGCAGTGGAGGTTCAATGTCTCGAAATCTCGTACTTTTAACATCTCTGAGATGTTTTTGTGCTCGCTGGGTAGGTTCGCATCCCCTTCGGAGAAAGTTTGTTTTCAATCTCCTTCCGTCTCCTATTTATTTAAAACCGTCCATCCGAATGTTCATGAAACATCCCTAAAATATTTGTATCACATTGTGAGAATATTCTGGGCATATTCAAATATCATCAGAGAATATATCCTATGAAAGTTTCATGAATGACATTGTGCTATCTGGGTAATGTATTCATGTCGATATAACACCCTGTATAGATTTCGATCGGGTAACAGCTATCATCAAATGAGGAAAGTAAATTTTCAATTTCCAAAAAGAATATAATTGGAATGTGTTTTATCCAATTCATATTATGAATTTATAGTTGACAATATTATGTAATTAAACTAGTTTATTGATATCATTTGATGAATAAGATACGCTTTATAAGTTCAGACATATATTAGACATAACAATATAGATAAGTATAGGTATGCGAAAAAATTTAGGTACAATGTTCAAATAGTTCATTCACTTGAGATAAGCAAATTCCAGGATGAGATAATAAGGATATATCATGTCATCATGTCTAGATAGCTGTGTTAGATAAACGAAGTATAGAATTATAAATGGACTAATTTATTGCCATCGATTTGCATGGAATCGTTTTTTTTTTATTTCTGACAAGAGATGAAATCGAAGAAATATCTATAGAAATTGAAAAAAAAACAAGAAAACATCCTGCTCCGAATTTAAACATATTGGACTCATCTACTGAACCATCATTCTTATCTTTTCACAAATGTTGAAAATTATTATGATCAGCTCATTTAATCTCGGAAAACAAGAAACGTTATCGATTTTTAGTGTGATTTTGTTTTAAAAACTACGAAAACTATTGCCTTCCGTTAGCTAAAATGTATTTTTGTTGGGTTTCAAAGCAACTAATTGAAAAATGAGAAAAGTATTGGAAAACAACACCGATGATTTCGAAAAAAAAAAGTCATGAACATGTATTCGAGGTCATTTTTTTAAAACCTTCATCATACAGGGCATGGAAAGAAAATTCTGAATTGAGAAAAACCCAAACGCGAGTCTGTGATTAGAGTTCTTCGAAAATAAAAATTTTTCAATCGTTCAAGTTTGAACCCCTTGATTGGATATGAAAGGATTGATAATATACAGAGTGACTTATTCAAAAGCAGGTACCCTCATACATTTTTTATTTACGGAGCGATTTTAACGAATTTTTTTTCAATGTAGAAGGGGGGAAAAGGTGCATTTTGGAGAAAAATCCGCGTACACCACTGGAATCAGCGTCCTCTGAAATAGATCTGTACCAAGTTCATGAGAAAATATTCAATATTAACGAATCTCATTTCCCCCTCCCCCTATATCTCTGCTATTAGTCGTGTGATCTTTTAAAATTTGGGACAGGTATAAATGACCATCAATATGATCAGTTCTTCAGAGACATACCACAGTATAGAACCTTTCGAAAGGGTCTATACTGTGGACATACCTCCTTTTGGACAGTGCCGTACGTTTTTATTAAAATGAAAAGAGGAATTTTTTTTTATGAAATCATATAAGTAATTTTTCTGCAAGAAAACTAAATAACATTGTTCGTCATGCTTCCGAACCTCCATATGCAATAAATCACCTCTTTAATTTTTTTTCAGCCTCAGAAAAAGAGTGAATACAGATAATATAACTGCAAATTTTGGAACGTTCAATAGCCCCGCTAGGTAGAAAATCGTGATTAGAAAGTAAAAACAAGGAATACTTTATGTTTGTTGCTGATGATGATTTTATTTTCATAACATTCTGTAGTTATCTTGGAAACGGAATCAATATGTAATGTCAGATGATAAAATAATTTGAATTAATATATCGAGAAAAGCTATATTTCTGACTGACTGAATCGACATTGGTCCTTCGAGCCGGATCTATCGATACGTGGGTTAGGGGTCTGCTTCTCAAAATTAACTCTCACTGAAAAATGTTTCATCCTTCAAGCTGTGTCCATTCAGAATAGCATGAAGACATCTTTCAACGCTTCCAATCAGCCTTTCCCATGATTCAGCTATATGTAACTTTCCATCAAATTTTCCTAATGGTTTATCACCACAACTTGAACCCAACAACCAGTGATTTGGAGTAAGTGATTCAAAAAATTGGCGGATGAATATAACCCACAGTGAAGAAGCGATCCATCAAGATGCTCCTCACTAGGGGGGAGAATGTTGTTGTTGACAATGATTTTATTTTTATAACATTCTGTAGTTGTCTTAGAAACAGAATCAATATGTAATGTCATAAAATAAAATAATTTGAAGTCAGACAGTTCATTGAAATATCGAGAAAAGCTATATTTCTGACCGACTGAATCGACAATGTTGAACTCACTGTTTCCGAGTAAATACCTATAATTATTACGTTCGCAAAAATTCTGTTCAGATGTGCCTGTTTTTTTGAAGCCCTTCATAGGATCTTATAAAAATTCACATATATGAGGGTTTGAAGGCATAAAGAACAATATTGTGAGGTCAGTTTTACAGTGTCCTACGCGAATTTCTTCTAAAAACAATGGCTAATATGGATTCTGGATTTTCTAGCCTCTGAATGTAATCTAGTAAGCGTTGATCTTGAAAAAAGTGAACGCCGTTTAGATCCAAACTAAACCTTTCCTCCCTCTATAATTCAGAAAAAAAAATCGTGAAAATTGCTCCATAAAAAAATTTATGAGAGTGGCCGGTTTCAAATGGGTCACTATGTATGTTCATAAAATTACCCCGTGTTCTCTGTAGATTTTCTTGATCGTGTCCATATATCCGGAAGACTTTTTCTCGGAGTTGTCTGCGTTTTTCATATTATCCAGTTCGTGTTGCGTTTTCAGCAGGTAGAAGGGGTTGGACATATATTGGCCCAAAATTCCTCCAACACCGCTCGTCAGGACGCTTTTGCCAACGTTCACTTGGCCATTCTCGTCGGTGGTGAAGCCCCTATTTCTACCGAAATCATAGAGGGAAAACATTTGTAGCCGTTACTAAAAAATTAGTAACTACAGAAAATTTTTTTAGTACGATAGGGGACAGCAAGCATTAGTTGTTGCCATAACTAATTCTGTTTTTCTGGAAACGCCTATTTGCCTCTAATGAAAAGTTTAGTTGAGTCATCTACGACGTTGTTGTGGTAACTAATAAGCCTTTTTAAGGAATAATACCAAGTTTTATTTGCCACAATCAAGATACATAGTTATGACAATTAGATTGTTAGTACTGTTTCAATATATGTTTGTTATCACAACAAATTATCCCAGTTGGGGCAATTACTCATTTCTTCTGACGTTAATAGTGAGTGTGTTGTTGCAAATTGAATATTTAATTGTGACTGAAATGGAATCTAGTTACTATTAAAAGTGATTTAGTAACGTTTGAAATATAATTTAGTTATTCTGGCTTATATCAATTAAAATCAAGGCCCCATTCTAATAATAACAGTTTGTATGCCATTTTCCTTCCAATTTCCAATGGAATCGTGAACAGGAATACACCACACACCGTAAGTGCCACAGGCCACAGCTCAGCAAAAAGAGAGAGAATTATAAATATACACCGTGTGTGGACGTTTCTCACCGTCGCCCGTCGTAAACTGAACTGAATTGTGAATAGGTACCTGAACCTGATAACTAGTGACGCACAGATAACGATGGTAAACTGCGAATTATTATTTTGCCAACCAAATGCCAAATGGCTCAGCGCGAAGTGCAAGAAGACACAAAACAGTGATTTGAAAACACACAGAGCAGTGAACCAGCATATTATTTTATTTATTTTGTCCAAGCTCGACGACCGTGCGATCTATCCACTATTAAGATACAAGTTCAAATGATGAAACAGAAAGACAAACAGATGCAAGATGCAATTTTTGCCAGTGGGTCCCGAAGAGACGCGAGGCGGTCCCGAACGACGCAGTACAACTAAAATTATTAGTTATGGCTAAACAATTTCTGCTATGAATAATAATAAACCTTTTACGATAAATGTGTCATCAGTTGTGGCAAATAGTCAGCTGTTGTTAGTAACCCCAGAATGAGGTTTTTTAACCCCAATATGAAATTTTAATTGACTGAATAGACAACACTGTGATAATTCTGTCACAAATAGTATTTTCATTGATGACAAATAATTGGCGAAAAATAGAAAAGTCATTTGTAGGAAATAAGGATACGTTGTCATTGTTAATAAAATTCCAAATATTTTTAATTACCGGTACTAAAAAAATACCAACTAGATGTTTTAATTAACCAGTTTTTCTCAGTGTAGGTACCTGTATAAACAAACTTTATGAGTAAACTATATGCAATTCTGTTTATAGTGAAATTTGGCATCAAGTTTGACTTCTCGTAATTTCTAAAATATTGAACAAATTTTGAATTGCCGTCCAGATTCTGAATGCCTTTTTTATTGTCTTTCAAACCGTTCCTTATAGCTTCTTCTAAATTGATCAGGACCCATGATACAGGGTGAAACAAAGTTTCGTGCATTTTGAAAAAATTTCTCCGCCCCCCCATTTTGTCGGAAGACCACGATGTTCATATTTTATTCGGGCATTTCATAAATAGCAACCATACCTCGGGACATTTTCGAGTTTTTGCCAAAACTACTGTGGTTTCCGAAAAAAAAATGGTTTGGGATTTGTTTTAAATGAACTAATTTTAGAGGAGTTCCATAAATGGATGCTTTTATGCATTTCAGGAAAGCGTTGGAGCAGATATGTATACCAGTTTACTCAAAAACAATCAATAATTTATTACTTCGCAGTAGGTGGTGTGACTGTTTGGGGGGGACTTGGTTCAACAAAATGAAAAAATTATAAAATAGATGAACTTCCTGAGGACTGAACTCGAGACCACAGGCATAGCATTCAAATACATTTATTTTTCAATACATGGCCAATCTGCAACAGACAAAATACACCTTAAAACAGTTCTCCAATATCATCAGGGTGATCTCCAAATACATTGGTCGACTCGTAAATCAGACCATGCTTTTCATAGATTTCATGTTCGGCCCCAGTGGCTGTTATACCACTAAGTGAGTTGACTGCCTTGAACACGAAATCTATAAAATTCAGCAAAATTTGCTTGCAATTTCATTCATGAAATCAGGGATTCTATAGGTATGTTGTGACACTGCTCGTGAGGGTCTGCTACCCGAGATGAGTATCTCTCACCATTAGTAATTTTATGGCTACTTCATTTTGCAGCACCTGTAATCTGCCCAATCAGTTAGGCAAGGCGTTACAAAATACTGGACAGGCAGGCGTATATGTCTCAACAGAAGTAATGATCAAAGATTAATATCCCATAGATGAAAACCCAAAGTCATCTCCACAACTTTTATTTAATGATCATAGATCATAATTATAAGGGAACATGTTTCGGGCTTATATAAGCCCATCATCAGCCAAGAGAATGTTAAGTTCTAGAAAAGACAGATTTTGACCTATGGTATGATACAATAATATTTTACTTACATGGAAGTGAAAAATGTTGCAATGTGTATAAAATAAGCAATAACGGAGCAAGCAAAGGCCATTGCTCCATTATCTGGAAAAGGAACAGTGAAATTTTTTTAAGAAATATCAATTTGAGCGAAACTTACTATTTATGTTGGTAGTGCTAGTTGGCGAGAGTATGAATGCTGAAAGATATCGAGATAGGTGTTTGAGAGATGTTGTTGTTCCCTTTGCAAGGAATTATGGAGATGGCTTCATGTTGGTTGATGACAATGCACGTCCCCATCGGGCTAGATGTTTCGTCGAATTTCTTCGAGCGGAAAATATATAACGAATGGAGTGGCCAGCACGATCACCTGACATGAATCCAATCGGGCACGTTTGGAGTGAGTTAAAGCTACGGTTGGATAGGCAAGTGACCCAATTTCAAAATTTTGATGAATTGGCAAACGCAATTTTGCGTGAATGGGAGGCTATTCCCCAATTGTATATCCAGAATTTAGTGGACAGTATGCCGAGGCGAGTCTTGAGGGTCAGGGGAGGCCCAACAAAATAATAATAATGTATCGTTGTTCGTTTTTGTTGATGTGATGTGTTGATTTACTGCTCACTAAGGTAGAAAACTATTATCATATACTGCGAAGTAATAAATTATTGATTGTTTTTGAGTAACCTGGTATACATATCTGCTCCAACGCTTTCCTGAAATGCATAAAAGCATCCATTTATGGAACTCCTCTAAAATTAGTCCATTTAAAAACAATGCAAAAAAAAATTTTTTTTCGGAAACCACAGTAGTTTATGGCATAAACTCGGAAACGTCCCGAGGTATGGTCAAAGAATATTAGGTTGGTATGGTTGCTATTTATGAAATGCCCGAATGAAATATAAGCATCGTGGTCTTCCGACACAATGGGAGGGCGGAGAAATTTTTTTCAAAATGCACGAAACATTGTTTCACCCTGTATCATGGGTCCTGATCAATTCAGAAGAAGCTGTAAGGAACGCTTCGATAGACGATGAGAAAGGCATTCAGAATCTGGGTGGCAATTCAAAATTCGTTCAATATTTTAGAAATTACGAGAAGTCAAACCTGATGCCAATTTTCACTATTAACGTTTCAATTGACGCCCAGTTTATGTAACTTAAATATTCATGTAAGGTATGTAGAGGATACAGACTCTGTAACAGACATATTTACAGATTCTGTTAGTTCAACAGAGAATGGTATTCTGCCAAACACTCAACACCGTGTCGGAATTTACGCCTGTCCTCTTACTGAATATTGATAAAATGGCTAACTTTATAGCTACTCATTAACCTCACATTTCAGGGTTGGTTTTGATAGATTCAAAAGAAAATGGATATTTCAGAATGGTTTTTATCTATATCAACTGTATCATTGACTAATTGTCCTTTTTTATAGTAAGATAATTCTTAAATTCGACTGATACTATAATGAGTAACAATTTCCATTTCTTATACCTTCCAGCTTTTTATGGAACGATGGATCCAAACATATACGAAGATTTCTTATAACCTCCATATTATTACCTACATAAGTAATTTAACATTACAGTGAGAAAATCGGGTCCATAGGAATGTTAAACACTATGTAATGTCATTTTATAGAAATATATCGAAATCGCACTGGCATAATATACCTACAGATAGCCTACAGAGTCTGTACTGGTGTGCAAAATAGCAGCAATATCTGATTATGGGATATTCTGCAATTTAAATTGTTAATCTTTTTACAGATTGTTTATGGATTCATTACATAAAGGAGTATGTTGCACCACATCTACAAGATAGTCTGCGCCCTGTATATGAGATTGATATCCACATTGACTCACGTCGAGTCATACGATTATGCAAGGGTACAATCATCGGGAAAAAGGAAGGTGGACGGTTATCAGTTAGGCAGTCTTTGCGAATACGTGGTGTAGTACTGTGGTATTTCTCAATATAGTGTGCTTTAGTTACAACAGAGATAATAGGCAAGTGGATTATTTTATTATGTCTTAAATAGAATCATCACTCGAATACCTTTCAAATCCATATTTTATTAGATTTTTTCGGTCGATTTTGAGGTGCTAAATCGTCAATACTGCCACGGTAATTTTTAAACGGCTAGAAATTTACCGCAAATAAAAACTGATTTCGTAATTATATAGGGGCAGACCATAGCACAGTTGCCATATGTTGAAATAGGAATGCGGGAACTCCAGAAATATTATTCATTTGATAATAACTCATAAATTCTCAATTATGTATGTCTTGCAATTTTCCCTCTTGAATATGTTGTGTCTAATTGCATTATGATGAATTTGTGTAAATGATAATTATATTAATACAAACTAGAGGGGATTTGGTCCGGTAAACGTGACAACACAGGATTGTGTGCGTTGTCTTGTCAGTTCCCAGCGTTTAGCAGAGTATTGCCAAGTCTAGCCTAGCCAACATTGACATGATGTTCTGTTATGGAGTATACGAAATATTTTAACAAGCCGATTGCTCGCAAAAGTCACAAATTAATAACTATAATATCATGGCTTCCTCCTGTTAGGACAAAGTGAATATTTATTCTGGAAATAGTTTTATTGAACGACAGAGCATAAGTTTTCATTCTGTTCAGATATTCCAGTTGAGACGTACGATAGCCGAATCTCTTGCTATGTTTCCATTCACATGCCATATGTATATAACGATAGGGCCAACTGACATCTGTGTAAGATCTATAAGTACTGTTTCTCATCGTCAAAATAATATTTGACAGATATAATTCAACATTCCTAGATATTTCAATAATGATTTTATCATTCACGACATTTTCATACATTCCTGCGCCAGTGGTTTCCTTATTGAATTTAAGCTCCGGACACCTAGGTTAATTTTTTTCCATCTCTTCAAATAAGGGGTGTTCCCATAAGAACGCATCCAGTTTGGGACACCCACATTATTATTAAATATTGTGAAGATAACTCACAGCTCTATTCTCTTCGTTAACCTTGTGTTAACTACGAACAATGAAAGTTCGAAAATTGTCTAGAGTTATTTATTTCTAAGTTTATTGAGAATATCATTAGCAAGTACAAGATTTTCACGTATCTTTTGAACCCCCACTTAACTTTTTGATGTATTGTCCAATTTTTTTCTTCAGCTAGACCCCAATTGTAATATATCTATAAAATCAGCTCTTCAGGGAGAATCTAAAAATGCATTGAAATACAGGGTGTCCTAAATGAAAATTTATAAATGTTGCCTATAATTCTTTTTTTAAGATGTTCAACTGTTTCTCTGTTGGCATGATATATATTATAATCTACAGAACAAAATTGAAATACACAACACTATAGGTACTCCAAGATTGCAGAACTCTTGGAATTATCTTTTGAAGAATATACAATAACATTATTCTATTTATCGTAATGGGAGCACGACTAAATATCCGGTACAAAAATATCCTGTCAAAAAAATCCTGCCGAAAATAACCTGTACATTAATATATTTAGACAATGATAGCCTGACCAATAAGATTTCCATTCCTCAGTCAAATTATTATAATGATTTTATAAAGGATATGAATGATAAGGTTATTTTCAGCAGGATATTTTTGACAGGATATTTTTGGACGGGATATTCAGTCGTAGACACATCGTAATATGCATGTTTGAAAATGTATAAATGTTGCCCATATATAAGTATTTTTTGAGATGTTCAACTGTTTTTCTGTTGGCATATACAGAATCTACAGAGAAAAAATTTAACAATGGATAAAAAAGTAATGTGGTGAGTCATGAGGAACAGTACATACTCTTACCACAAATAGGGGAATACCTAATGACCATCAGAAAATGTCTTCTTCTCTTCTTTACCAATATACATATAGGGTAAATTATAAGATTTGGCAAAAACATCTTTTGGTCATAACTTCTCAACAGCTCCTTGGATTTGTCTGATTTTTTTCAAGAAATATACCTCTACGGAACCCTAATTGACTGACCTATTCAGAATTGGGCAAAGCCAGGACCGTTTTCTAAAAATTTCGATAGTTTAGTTTCCATCAAAAAGTTCATCCTGTATATGGTTTTTGTGAACTGTGACAGGGAGTTTTCAAATTACACAAACGAGGATCAAAAATAATATAAATCAAAATCATACTCACACTTTCTCACTGAATTTTTTAAAAAACGATAAATTATATAAGCAAAAAGGAAAGTTTGACAACAAATTTTATTCATTCGAAAATAATTACTTCGCGACGAATAAATTTCACAAATGAAAGCAAGACTTACATTTTCAATGCTTAAGCCCAATAGAAATCAACAAGTCCTATTATTTCCAGGCCTGATGGATTTCGTGATTTCATTTGTTGTGGAGGGTAATAATCACCCTGTAGATCTTTCTCAAATCAGTGGATGGGGTATCTGTTTAGATGTTAATCGTCATCGATTCAAATAATCCACGATAGTCGAACAGAAAATAAAGGTTTACTCTCAATTACTTTTCAAAAGCTATACTGACAAAGGCGGATAAATCTAGTACGGAAAATAAGTGACCAAATCAACTGAATAAAACAAATCGAATAGATAAAACTGATTTGAAAAAGAACTACAGGGTGATTCTTATCCTCCACAAAAAAAAACAATTACTGAATCCAGGCCTGAAAATGAAATAATATGTTGAATTCCATCAAGCTGAAGCATTTAAAATGTAGGTCTCACTTTTATTCGTAAAATTCATGGGTTGTGCAGTAATAATTTCCAAATAAATATATTTTTTGCCAAATTTTCGTTTTTTCATAACATTTATTGTTTTTCTCAAACTGCAGTGAAAGTGTGAGGAACATTTGAAATATTTCATTTTTGATATTTGTTCGTGACCTTTGAAAATTTCCTGTCACATTTTACAAAAACGATATACAGAATGAACTTTTTGCTATAAACTGAACTATCAAAATTCTTCAAGAACGGAATATTCCACGAAAAAATCAGACGAATTGAAGAAGCTGTACGAAAGTTATGACCAAAAGATGTTTTTGCCAAATCTCATAAGTCACCCTATACAGTGTGGTCATTTGAGTGTGCAACATGGGAATCTTTTTAATGAATTGCACAACCAAAATACAGAAAGTGCCGAAAGTTGATGCATTTTAGGTGCACTTAGAATGGTTGCAAGTCACTCAGCATACTGGGTAGGTCAAAAAATATGAAAATTGCTCAAGAGTAAAGTATTTCAGAAAATTCAACAAAATGTTATTGAGAAAAGCTGTTTACAATTGAAAGTTATGTTTTTAATTTTGTTCGTGAATAATTTCCCAATTTGTAATTTTTTTTATATTCACCGTAAATACTTTCATGAGTTGATCATAACAAAATCAGTTGAGCATACCTTCGTTCAAATTCAAGCTTATTTGTGCAATTAACTTGGATTCAAATTTTATTAGGGAATCACAAACTTTATGTTTGTTGCAACGATATTCAGCTTAATTTGCTTAACTAAATTTCGCAAACCATATTTTTAACAAGGTGAAACATACACTACACTGTTTTACCACTAACCAAACCGATTTTTTAACGCCTCGACACGTGTTTCGCTAACTATGTTAGCATCTTCAGGAGAAGATTAAAACTGAGTGATAGTCTGCGCCCTGTATATGAGATTGATATCCACATTGACTCACGTCGAGTCATACGATTATGCAAGGGTACAATCATCGGGGAAAAGGAAGGTGGACGGTTATCAGTTAGGCAGTCTTTGCGAATACGTGGTGTAGTACTGTGGTATTTCTCAATATAGTGTGCTTTAGTTACAACAGAGTTTCAATACCTTACAAGTATTAAGAAAGAGAGCAACGCTCATCGTTAGATAATAGGCAAGTTGACTATTTTTTTTATGACTTAAATAGAATCATCACTCGAATACCTTTCAAATCCATATTTTATTAGATTTTTTCGGTCGATTTTAAGGTGCTAAATCGTCAATATTGCCACGGTAATTTTCAAACGGCTAGAAATTTACCGCAAATAAAAACTGATTTCGTAATTATATAGGGGCAGACCATAGCACAGTTGCCATATGTTGAAATAGGAATGCGGGAACTCCAGAAATATTATTCATTCGATGATAACTCATAAATTCTCAATTATGTATGTCTTGCAATTTTCCCTCTTATATATGTTGTGTCTAATTGCATTATGATGAATTTGTGTTAATGATAATTATATTAATACAGACTAGAGGAGATTTGGTCCGGTAAACGTGACAACACAGGATTGTGTGCGTTGTCTTGTCAGTTCCCAGCGTTTAGCAGAGTATTGCCAAGTCTAGCCTAGCCAACATTGACATGATGTTCTGTTATGGAGTATACGAAATATTTTAACAAGCTGATTGCTCGTAAAAGTCACAAATTAATAACTATAATATCATGGCTTCCTCCTGTTAGGACAAAGTGAATATTTAATTTGGAAATAGTTTTATTCAACGACAGAGCATAAGTTTTCATTCTGTTCAGATATTCCAGTTGAGACGTACGATAGACGAATCTCTTGCTATGTTGCCATTCACATGCCATATGTATAACGATAGGGCAAACTGACATCTGTGTAAGATCTATAAGTGCTGTTTCCCATCGTCAAAATAACCCCAATATTGGACAGATATAATTCATTATTCCTAGATATTTCAACAATGATTTTATCATTCACGACATGACCTTTCGGACACCCTGTATATATATAAACATCATGATACATCTTCTATTTTTACTTTTTCATCACCACTCTTTTGAACTCAGAAAAACAACAACAAACAACAGGGTATTCCATTGAAAAAGAAGTGGATTGTCACGCTTTCAGGGATCACCCTGTAGGGCTGTGAAAAGGCCTCATTGCGACATTCAACTTCCGCAAATTGTTTTTTTTCTCGACAAAAAAATAACGTAAATATAGGGGTGTGCATTTTCAATGGACAACCCTGTACATTATTATTAAACATTGATAACTCAAAGCTCTGTTCTATTCGTTAACCTTGTGTTGACTACGAACAAGGAAAGTTCAAAAATTGTCTAGAGATATTTATTGAGAATATCATTAGCAAGTACAAGATCTTCACGTATTTTTTGAACCCCCACTTAACTTTTTAATGTAATGTCCAATTTTTTTTCCAGGAACTTTGTAATGATTTCAGCTAGACCCCAATTGTAATATATCTATTAAATCAGCTCTTTAAGGAGAATCTGAAAACGCAATAATATACAGGGTTTCCTATTTGAACATTTATAAATGTCTTTTTTGAGATGTTTGAGATTGACTTTTTTTTGTTTGCATGATATACGAAATCTACAGAAAAAAAATCAACAATACACATCACGATAGGTACTCAGAACTCAGAACTCTTGGAATAAATTATCTTTCGAAGAATATGCAATAAAATTATTCTATTTATCGTAATATGCATAAGGTTTCAAATTTTTTTCATTTCACCTAGACCCCAATTGTGATAGATCGATGAAATCAGCTCTTTAGAGAGAATATGAAATATAAAATACAGTAGTATATAAATGTATAAATTTTGCCCATATATAATGTTGGCAATTATAAAATTTACAGAGAAAAAATTGAACAATAGATAAACAAGTTATGTGGGGGTCTAATATACAGGGTGAGTCATGAGGAAAAGTACATATACTCTTACCACACATTGAGGCCCTTGAGGGGAATACCTAATGACCATCAGAAAATGTCTTCTTCTCTTCTTTACCAATATATAGGGTGAATTATGAGAATTGGCATAACTTCTCAACAGCTCCTTCGATTTGTCTGATTTTTTCAAGAAATATTCCTCTACGGTACCCTGATTGCCTGACCTATTCAGAATTGGGAAAATCCAGGACCGTTTTCCAAAAATTTCGATAGTTTAGTTTTTATCAAAAAGTTCATCCCGTATATGGTTTTTGTAAACTGTGACAGAAAGTTTTCAAAGCACACAAACGAGGAGCAATAATAATATATTCAAGATTCTCCTCACACTTTCACAGAATTAAAAAAAAAAAAACGATAAATTATAAGCGAAAACGAAAGTGTGACAAAAAAATTTATTCATTCGAAAAAAATTACTTCGCGACGAATAAATTTCACAAATAAAAGCAAAACTTACATTTTCATTGCTTTAGCCCAATGGAAATCAACAGGTCCTTTTATTTCCAGGCCTGATGGATTTCGTCATTTCATTTTTTGTGGAGGGTAATAATCACCCTGTAGATCTTTCTCAAATCAGTAGATGGGGTATCTGTTGAGATGTTGATCGTCATCAATTCAAATAATCCAAGATAGACAATCAGAAAATAAAGGTTTACTCTCAATAACTTTTCAAAAGCTATACTGACAAAGGTGGATAATTCTAGTACGGAAAATAAGTGACCAAATCAACTGAATAAAACAAATCGAATAGATAAAACTGTGAATTAGAATCATAGAATTATTTTATGCAAAAAGCATAACTTTATTGAACTATATTTAGTGGAAAAAGAAGTTCTTTATTGCACTCATCACACGTGCTGTCATCATGACAAACATTTTTTATATTGCAAATGTGGTTATAGAAACATCATATATTCATCGCATATTGAAAATTGCACCAATTGTTCATTCACTTTCAACATTGAGGGTAAAAATAAAGTTTGAGTTAAATTGTTCGTAACGTATTAGATCCTGTTTCAATGCAAATCGATATTAATAATAAAGTATTCAAGTTGCGTTTTTCATTTTCCTACACCTAGTGCCGCACCTCGATAAATCATTTTTTGCTTTTTGGATGAACGTAGAAGAAAATGTTGTATGCAACTCGTGCAAAAATTGTTTTTTGCACTCGACGTGTTGTCCAACTCGGCCTTAAACATTCACTTTTTGCACCTGTTGCATAAATAACTATTATAGCGATGGCCATCAACATTTTCACATATACCGCATTCACTGATTTGAAAAAGATCTACAGGGTGATTCTTATCCTCCACAAAAAAATCAATTACTGAATCCAGGCCTGAAAATGAAATAATATGTTGATTTCCATCAAGCTGAAGCATTTAAAATGTAGGTCTCACTTTTATTCGTAAAATTCATGGGTTGCGAAGTAATAATTTCCAAATAAATACATTTTTTGACAAATTTTCGTTTTTTCATAAAATTTATTGTTTTTTTCAAACTGCAGTGAAAGTGTGGGGAACATTTGAAATATTTCATTTTTGGTATTTGTTCGTGACCTTTGAAAATTTCCTGTCACATTTTACAAAAACAATATACAGAATGTACTTTTTGCTATAAACTGAACTATCAAAATTCTTCAAGAACGGAATATTCCACGAAGAAATCAGACGAATCAAAGAAGCTGTAGCCAAATCTCATAATTCACCCTATACAGTGTGGTCATTTAACTGTGCAATATATGGGAATCTTTTTAATGAATTGCACAACCAAAATACAGAAAGTGCCGAAAGTTGATGCATGTTCGGTAAACATTTTAGGTGCACTTAGAATGGTTGCAAGTCACACAGCATACTGGGTAGGTCAAAAAATATGAAAATTGCTCAAGAGTAAAGTACCCTTATTTCAGAAAATTCAGCAAAATGTTATTAAGAAAAGCTGTTTACAATTGAAAGTTATGTTTTTAATTTTGTTCGTGAATAATTTCCCAATTCGTAATTTTTTTTATATTCACCGTAAATACTTTCATAAGTTGATCATAACAAATTCAGTTGAGCATACCTTCAAATTCAAGCTTATTTGTGCAATTAACTTGGATTCAAATTTTTTTAGGGAATCACAAACTTATTGTTTGTTGCAACGATATTCAGCTTAACTTGCTCAACTTTAAAATTTCGCAAACCATATTTTTAACAAGGTGAAACATCATTAATGATAATATGAATATTCGAAAACTTCCATTCAATGTGAACATTTCGTATTCAAAATGTTACAAATTGGGAAATTATTATAACGAACAAAATTGAAAAACTAAAAAATGTCTTAGGTGGTCATGTTTTGGTATTTAGGCATAACCTCGGGCATAACTTTCAATTGTAAACAACTTTTCTCAATAACATTTTGCTGAATTTTCTGGAATAAGGGTACTTTACTCATGAGCAATTTATATATTTTTTGACCTACCCTGTATGCTGTTTGACTTACCATTCTGAGTGCACCTAAAATGATTACCGAACATGCACCAACTTCCGGCACTATCTGTATTTTGTTTGTGCAATTCAATAAAAAGATTGCCATATACAGTATGATGCAAATGTATGGAATAAATTCATTTCAAAACAAGACGACTTCCGAAAAAAATCCAAAAACTAGAGTTCAGAACTTTTTTTATTGTGTATTTTTTCAACTAGACGACCCTTCGATGTTCAATTCTCAGTAGCAGACCTCTGCAAGATTCAGTTAACCAAATGATAATCCATTTTAATTGCAATATTCTTATGCAAAATTTTGACTGTTGGATAGACGATCAGTAGACCTTTCAAACGAGGTGTCACATGACCCCTGCTTGTATTTGAAAAAATCGTCCATTACGTCATTACTTCTACACCAGTGACGTAACATCTCTCATATGAATGTCGTGAGATGAGGCTTCAAAAATTAAAACTCACGTGTTTTTGAAATTTCTTCAAATGTCGCCCATTTCTGAAATAATGAATTTATTCCATACACTTCCATCATACTGTATATGTTGCTGTATATTGGAAAAGAAGTGTAATAGATACTTTCTGATGGACATCAGGTATTTCCCTCAGGGGCCTCGTGGTAGGAGTATGAACAGTTCCTCATGACTCACCCTGTATACCTGCAGACCCTGTACTCGAATAGTAGAGTAATGTGTTTGATTCTTACCCAACTTCATTCCGTAGCTGGCAAGGTATGCCCCAAGGGCCGGAGACAGACCCTTCTGCAAACTCTTCAGTCCATCTGCCTTGGCTACCGTGTACCCGGTGTGGAAAAATTTGGCACACTTGTTTTGGAATTGACTCTTCTTGCTCATTTCCATGTGATGTTTTACGACTTCCAGAGGGTTCGTGATAAACCCAGCACTGGTAGCAGCCATTCCACCTATTACGAACTCCATATTCAGACCACTCGGTATTACCGAAGCTCAAATGTTTTAAGAACTCCTTATTCCTCGTAGGATTCTCTATTTCTGTATGGTTGAAGCACGATTGCGATTTTTTTCGCAAATTTTTTATTTATATCTTTCCATCAAGAGATATTCGGCAACAGCCGGAGTGGGAGTAAAGGAGATGAGTCAATTACAAAAGATTAAAATTTTCTCGCTAAAGATTTAGGATGATTTTTTATCTGCACACGAACATGCACAATCATGGCAAGACTATTAGCATCTATTAGTTATCAATATACAGGGTGGGTCAGAATAGGGCCGGCAAACTTTGTTTTCAGATTTCTTATTTTGTTTCATGATATGTAGTTCCTATTGACGAAAAATACAAACTTGAATTTGGTTTCTGTTCTGTTTGAATATTTACATAAATCACCCCGTATTATATTTTATATACTTTGATGTATTACCATAACAAAAAAAAAGAATAGTTTTTTTGATAATTAAGAAAAAAGGAACTTCTGAAAATTCTATTCTAGTTCAGTCATTGGGGATCCAAAATAAGGCTTACCTGGAAAAAAGTCCGGAAGTTTTGAAACTTTGTAGGATTATAGTTTTGGGTGTCCAGAACTAAAATTCACAAAATGCACATTCCAGGACATGCCGCCGGCGCCGCCATCTTGCCAAGATGGCGCTCAAAAACAGTTTTTTGAAAATATCTCCAAAACGGTGCGTTTTTAGAAAAAATATGAAGACATAAAAATTTAAGATTAAGAAATTTTCTACAAGAAATGTTTCGAGCATATTTCTGCTAAAGAGAGCCGTTTAGGATCAAGAGCTGATTGAATGACAACATATTCTGTTAATTTCTATAAACTGCCCCTAACTATCTCCATATATGCGTAAAAATACATATTTTATAATAAAACGGGCAATTCAATTTGTTCCTCGTTATATTGGACGATTTTTAGATCAATAATTATGCGACAAAAATTTTGCATTTGTGACTTGCGATTATTTGGGCGATATAAAAATTGCATTATCGACGAATCTGGCGACTTTGCTCCAGAAGTATGTGGGTGCAGGATGGTTATGAGTAAATTTCGTACCTATACTATGTATCCGTAGATATAGGTACCTTCTCGTACTCTAAAACCGCCCATAAATTCATAGAAATTTGAAATTTTGCTTTCTTGTCTTTACCACTCCATCCCAATGTGAGTAAATACACAAAATATATAATTCAGATGAGATATTTTTATAAACGGTAAAAACACAAAAACTTTTTCATCAACTAAATTACTTTTCCTAACGAACACAATTTGCCAATCAGTAATTTTACGAGAAAAACGGACATGAAAAAATTGCGAGAGCGTATTTAACCAAGGAAAAATGAAGTTTCTAACAACATTAGAAAAACATAAAGAGTTACAAGATCATATTAAAGTTTTTAAAAATGAATATGCCACCCCTGATCAAGTTGCCTTTGCCGGTGAGAAATTTTTCCTTGCACTCTATGGATTCAAAGACACAAATCACACCAATCTTGATAAATATCGATACCAGTGTTTCGTGAAGTCGGTAACAAAAAGTAAATTCAATTTGGCATCTTTACCACCAACAAGCGCAGCTGCACGACAGCATTCGTTGAGAACGTACTATCAGGTTCAACTATGGCGTGGTTGTCCGAAAGTAGTTGAAGAATGGGGTTGGAAGAAAACACAAACTGGCAATAACTACTTTGAAAGATCCTGCTTCCAAAGCACTACTTGCTTTTTTATCTTGTAAGTGCAAGGCGGCTTGTGGTAGAGCCTGCGGATGCAGGAAAGCAGGATTGCGATGTTCGATGATTTCGGGAAAACTTGTGAAAATATCAGCCAAGTGACACTGGACGATTACGATGAAGAAGACCTCCATTCGCTGCATGATGATTCTTAATCGACTGCAGAAGAAGAATCCGACGAGTTGAAGGAAATTAACATCGATTCTGGAGCTGAGGTAACCAGTTTCCCCGTTGAATATATCGAAATCAACGAGCCAGGTCCGTCTGGCCTTTGTCAAAAATAATTTCAGTACCTGAGTGGATTAGCACTACAGGGGAAACCACGTTAAAAAAAAACGCGCCGTGTACTTAGCCTCTTGGGTGGTGTGGAAACAAGTACAGCATTTAAAATCGAAATTGATTGATCATAAATTATTAACATGGATTAATTGATGAATTCATCGATTAATTGAATAATGGATATCCACCGTTTCGTGATAAATATTTTTAAAGTCGTTAAATATCAGATTTGGGGATCCCTAATACACATATTATTTCCGAAACTCGCCACTACAGAAGACTTACGCAACATTTGTAATTTGGTAAGGGCACTTGTGCCTTAACGAGGGTACTTTAGCGAGAATATTCTAGGAACATATTTTATAGGAAATATCCTCTGTCAGCAAGCTATAAATATAACGAGAAACCAATCAGATAGCCCGTTTCATTATAAAAGATGAATTTATACGCATATTTGGAGATAGTTAGGGGCAGGTTATTGAAATTAACAGAATATGATGTCATTCAATCAGCTCTTGGGCTTAAACAGCTCACTTCAGCAAAAATATACTGAGAACATTTCTTGTAGAAAATTTCTTCGTCTTAAATTTTTATATCTTCATATTTTTTCTAAAAACGCACCGTTTTGGAGATATTTTCAAAAAACCGTTTTTGAGCGCCATCTTGGCAAGATGGCGGCGCCGGCGGCATGTCCCGGAATGTGCATTTTGTGAATTCTAGTTCTGGACACCCAAAACTATAATCCTACAAAGTTTCAAAACTTCCGGACTTTTTTCCAGGTAAAAATCCCCAATGACTGGCCTATTCAGTGTATTATTTGAACTGATGTTTCCCTATGTCTGAGATCATATATCTATCCTATATGTTGAATGCAAAGGTGTCAAATCTTTCATGTCAGTTTCCGCCTCTGGTGTTCCCAAGAATCTAATATCTGGGACCTTCACTCTTCCTACTAGTCGTAAACTATATTTGTGATGTGATTCTATTTCCTCCCAGAAATTGCAGATGATATGAAGTCACATAAACATAACATGAATATGAAGAATTACTCTTAGAAATTATTGGTCTCATATTTTTTTCTTCTGACTGTGACTATCGACTACTTAACACCCATTATCCCAAAAACATTATCATTCTATTTCATCTACAGCAAACACATCTACATCACAGATATATCGCATTCTATGTCGCATAGACGTCGCTGCCATGCCAGAGGGATGTTTTTTGTCCCACTCAAGTTTCATTCATACGACGTCGATGCGATATGTTCTCTGCGATATAACAGCGACATATTTTTTGCAATGTAATTGTGATATGTTATTTGTGATGGAAAAGCGATATGTTTTTGCGATAAAACTACGATATGATGCGAGATACTCCGATGACATCTAATATTGATTATCAATCGTCTTTTCAGCAGCGCTGTCCTTGGTACATGCGAATCTCTATCAGAATAAGATCAGTTAGTCGTGTTCAAATCAAAAATTGAATAGTGTGAGTCGGCGAGGTGAAAGCAGACCAAGAATAGTTTGATAGCAATGTAACGAATGTTTGCGAATTTATTTTCACTTCCTTGAGTAACGTATATTCATGTATTCTTTTTCACTAAACAATAATCTTAATAACAAATTTTTGAAAAATTCTTGCAGATGAGTTTGCTTCGATCTGTACATCGTAACGATGCAACATTCGTTGGTGTGCACGAAAAGGATGTCTTGTCGCAGATGCGTTTGCTTCTGCACATCTCAGTGATGGAACATTCGTGATATCGCAGTGTTGCTTCATCGCGAGATCCCAGAGATGTCATGTCGCAGATGTGTTTGCTTATGTACATCGCAGCAATGAAACAATCGTGATATCGCAGTGTTGCCTCATCGCGACATCTCAGAGATGTCATGTCGCAGATGTATTTGCATCTGTACATCGCAGCGGTGGAACATTCGTAATATCGCAGTGTTGCCCCATCGCGACATCTCAGAGATGTCGCAGATGTGTTTGCTTATCAACATCGCAGCGATGGAACGTTCATGATATCGCACTGTTACATAAACGCGACATCTCCAGAGATGTCATGTCACAGATGAGTTGGCTGGGGATTTGTTTACATTTATTCTCATAGAGAAATATACAGGGTGGCCAAAGGGTGGCCTCAAGGGGTGAGTTTTTGGGTGATTCCAAGACGAAAAGTTCATGTGAACTGCTTCGTTTTCAGGAACAGGGTGTTAAAGTTTCAATAAAGAACAGTTTTTTATTAATTGTTCAAAATTGTGTTTTCTTATTTCAATGAAAATTGGCGATTTTGTTAACAGTATCAAGAACCTTCTTTTCGTGTTACTTTTTCGATATTTATGGTTAATAAGATACCTACGTCAAGGCTACGTCAAGTACGTCAAGTTCGATATTTTATCAGATTAAACAATTAAAATTACGAATTTCTTGTCTACTATTGAATTGTTGTAAGTACATCACTTAATTTCTGAGGAAATGATGAAGCATTTATTTGTCTCAAAATTTTAATAATTTAATGAATTTTGAGGCTTTTTCAGTCTCCAACCAGACTAAATTTTGCCATCATGAAAGTTTATACAGGGTAATCATGAAAACAACAATCAATACTTCAAACTTCAACACCATGTATCTCGAAAACGAAGCATATCGGGACCTATGCTGTTAAAACTTTTTGTCTCAAAATCTCCACTTGAAGTTTGGCCAGATATGTACTTGAATAACACCCTGTATAGAGCCAGAAAGAATCTTTTTAGGTCTTTGTAGGAGGGTAACGAATGTAGTAACCCTTAAGAGTTTTTGCTTTAAGGTGCTCCCAGCCAACCATCGTGTGACATCAACATCTGTGTGATGTAACAACCTTGCATGAATGCAATATCTCGTTAACACATCTTATCGACGTAGATTCGATATCAACGTCGCA